AACCTTCTTTTTGTAAGGCTAAACATTCCCAGCTCCCTAAGCCGCTCCTCGTAGGACATGGCTTCCAGACCTTCGACCATTTTGGCCGCCCTCCTCTGGAACACGCTCCAGGTGGTCAACCTCCTTCTTGAATTGAGGTGCCCAGAACTGGACACAAGACTCCGGGTGAGGTCTGACCAAAGCAGAATAGAGTGGAACTATCCCTGCCCTTGATCTAGACACGCGTCTCCACCTGGCTGAGAATGAACCCCTTGCTTGGAAGCTGCTTATGAGACAAACTCTTTGCCTAGTGAGATTCATCTTTTTGTCATCCTCATCATTGCCATCATCATCTTAGAACGGCAGAGTTGGAAGGGGACCCTCTGGATCGTCGCATCCAGCCCGTCAGGGAGGCCCGGTGGGGGAATCAAACTCCCAGTCTTTGGCTCCCCAGCCAGAGAGCTAAGCCACTGAGCTGTCAAGGGGGGCAAGGCCTGATTGTAGTATTGTGTGAGCACCCCATTGCTGATGCAACAGGATTTCACCCTTAAACCCCCCCAGCCCCTTCCCTATCTCTGCAGCTCTCTTCAGTCACTCAAAAAGAGTCCCGGAGTCTGCTTGCTTCCATGGATCTCGACAGGGTTTCAGAGGGGAGGGAGGACTGCTCCTTCCCTCATCATCATTGATGTACAGCGACGGTGTCGGCACAACAAAACACCAGGATCGTATCCCAAGTGTGGAGCACTCAAATTCCAGACTTGTCACACACACACACGACAAAACAAAGCAGTACCAAAAAAAATCAATCCATTTAATGATAGCACCAAGATATCAACAAAGGCCTCGGGTTCAGAATCACAGTGTCTTCTTCTCTGATGTCTAGACGAAACCTTTCCAACCCAGTAGAAGCAAGGATTCCCGAAACAGACGCTTCCATTCTTCCACAAATTTTCCAGAAACTTTCCTACTGCGATATTGACATTATACACAAAATCTTTCCTGTTTCAGTTCAAAAGGTGTTTGATCATGGTTTAAAGACAGTTCAAAAAACCACCTGCTTAATATCCAAATAATGTTTTCAAAGCAGCAAGTGCAGTAAAACCCTTCCTCCCTTGTGGGTGGAGGTCTTCATTCCCGGTCCCAACTGGAGTTTTGCTTGAATGAACTGAGAAATCCAGCTAGTCTCCAAAAATCCACAGGACGTTCACACCAGATAAGCCGAGATTGACTCTCCTGCAAACACAGTTCACATACTTATATTAAGATACATCGCACATTTATATGAAGATAGAGTACAACTAGACCTCAGCATTGACATCATTGTCAACTAATGGCTGATCTCCTGTTGCTTAGCATAGCAAGTCACGTTATAGCGGTCCCACCTAGGTTCTATTGATTCCACTAGGCTGAAGTAAGTCACAACTAGAGTAGGCCCATTTGAATCAAGGGAACTTACAGAGGAGTGGAATCATCAAATCTCCACGGAATCAGTGGGGCTACGCTAACAGACTAATCAACAGGATTCAGCTACTATACCATTCCTCATCAGATTTTAAAACCTTCCTCTGAAGCCAAACATTTAAAACATTTTCTGCATCGACCCAGGCATTGCGTCTAACCCAGTCCTTCCCAATCTGGGGTCCCCAGATTGTTCTTGGACTACAGCACCCAGAAGTCCTGGCCAGCACAGCTAGTGAAGGCTTCTGGGAGTTGTAGTCCAAGAACATCCCAGGTTGAGAACGATTGGCTTAGACTCTAACCTATCATGAATCTTTGGTTTTAAATTAACAGACTCTTCTAAATTCGGATTACAAAAGAAATGCTTTTCAAATGCACGGGGGCCAGTAGAAAGTTATTTTTTATTAACCGCACTACATCAATTTCTACTTTCCCCCTCTAGAGATTTAACGAGGAACAGACCTCAACAGATGGGAAACCCTGACATCTGAGCGTTCAGCCTGGAGGCAGGCAGTGCTTCATGGCCTCTCCCAATTTGAAGAGACCCTTGTCCAGCAGGCCGAGGCAAAGGGGCCGTCCCGTAAGCAGCCAAACCAGGGAGATGGACGGGGACAGATTGGATTTATCTTCAGTGTGGAAGGGATTGTCACTCTCGAATTGGCCTCCTCAGCCACACTAGACGCTGTTCCAAGTCCTCCATACAGAGCACATTACCCTAGTCTCTCGAGACTGAAGGATGCCTAACAAGCTTGATGGCCCTCTGCTCACTGTGTCTAATTTGCAACGGCCAGTATCCTGCAGAGATTTCTCTTTGTGCAACAGAACTCGCGCCTGCCGCTGAGCTGTTTGACCTGTCGCACAACCGGTTGTGCACTTGGTGGATGGCATCGCCAGTCGTGCCACAAAGACCTCACAAAACTGCGCAATGTCTGTTGCCTGAAGGGACCCCCTCTGTCAGGATATGGACTAAAGATTGTAGAACACAATGGGAGGGTAACACACGCATAACAGAGTTGTGCTAAAGATGGAAACGCTCAAGTCAGCCTGCTTTACTTCTGCATTTGCTTCTTTCCATACTCTCTTTAAGTAAAGTGATGAAACAGCATTACCTACCCCAGCATTCCAGATTCTTTTGTCTTTATGATGTACAGGAACATAAGCAAAGTGTGGAACAAATTGTTTCTGCCCTAAACCCAAAAAACAGAAGAAAAAGTTGTGCTAAAGATGGAAACGCTCAAGTCAGCCTGCTTTACTTCTGCATTTGCTTCTTTCCATACTCTCTTTAAGTAAAGTGATGAAACAGCATTACCTACCCCAGCATTCCAGATTCTTTTGTCTTTATGATGTACAGGAACATAAGCAAAGTGTGGAACAAATTGTTTCTGCCCTAAACCCAAAAAACAGAAGAAAATGGATAAGATAAGAAATAAATGGAGAGGTGCTCATAAAAGAGGAGACCGTTTTGTGCATAGTCTGTGACATGCTCTCACACATGCCCGGTGGATGATTCAGCATCTTTAAAAAAAAATCTCAGGACTCCTGAAAGGAGAAGGCGGCTTCAGCACACCGCACCGTATGCTGGCTTCTCCTGAAATCAGAGGAAGCTGTACAGCAGCCGAGGGAGCAGTCCAGACTTAAGGGATGCAGGCCATAGAAGGCAGCAGGGTAGATGGTTTCCCTTTCTCTTCCCTTCGGCACAGTGGCCCTTACCTTGCTCAAAGAATAGACACAGCTTCAGAGATGGGTATAGCTTATAGGGCATGCATACTAGCCTCAAACTCTGGGAGAAATCAGGGATCCTATGGAAGTAAAACTAATTGAAAATTGAGATGCACCCATGCTATGGGGAAGCTGATATTTATTTATTGCATCTGTATCCCGCTCCCATTATTTTACTTTTACCTTATTTGGACTTACACCCTGTCCCTCTAGACAAAGTCTACTCGGGGCGGCTTACATAAGTGATAAAATACAATAAAATAACATAACATACATAATGATACAAACCCACTAACTGATGCATATATACATTATCAAGACAGGATAAGTAAGAAACAAAGATCAATTAATTGATTGGAGGGAAGGCCTGCCTAAAGAGCCAAGTTTTTAAATGGCTTTTAACCATGCCCAGCAAGGGAGCCAGGCGGAGTTCCATTTATTCCACAACCGAGGGGCTACTGCCGAGAAGGCCCGGTTTCTTGTTCTTTCCTTCCGGACTTCTCTCGGCGTCAGGCCCCTCAGCCGTCCCTGCTGGCTTTGTTGAGTGATTCGGGTAGACCTGGGTGGGAGAAGGCAATCTGCCAAGGCACAACTCTGAGCAGTTACAACAAATAGAAAACAGACAACAAATAGAAATAAAAACACTTAAGAGCAAAATGCGACTAACCCTAAAAGCAGAAGATGGTGCACGAAAGAATCCTATAGGAATCAAAGTGGATGGAAGGGAAAGGGGGAAAGAAGGTCAGGCCAGGGTCAATGTGGAAAGCCTTCTTATAAAGCCAGGTCTTTAGCTGCTTCCTAAGTGTCCACAGGGAAAGGGCCGGGCGGAGCTCCCCTGGAAGCTGGTTCCACCAAGTCAGAGCCACGGCGAAGAAGATGCTGCCTCGGGGTGGCTACGCAGAGGGGCCCCAATTGAGAGGATCGTATGGTTTGGGTGGATGACATTAAGAGGCTCCACAGAATCCGTACCCTTTGCTTTTTTGTCACTGCCTGCAAGGGTTTATGCATCCCCATTATACACTGGTAAAGGTTCCCCTTGATATTTAGTCCAGTCGCGTCTGACTCTAGGGCATGGTGCTCATTCCCGTCTCCAAGCCGTAGAGCCAGAGTTTGTCCATAGACAGTTTCCATGGTCCCGTGGCCAGCGCGAACTAGACACGGAACACGGTGACCTTCCCACCGAAGTGGTACCTATTTATCTACTCGCATTTTTACATGCATCTGGACAGCTACGTTGGCAGGAGCTGGGACAAGCGACGGGAGCTCCCTCCGTCGCGTGGATTCAATATTACGACGGCAGGTCTTCTGACTCTGCAGCCCAGAGGCTTCAGCGGTTTAAACCGCAGCGCCACCACGTCCCCTAATACACTAGGAACAAGCTGATCCTTGGGAGTTGCTGAGCGCTCCAGCACTGGAGGCCTTCAAGAGAAAACTGGACTGCCCTCTGTCAGATATCTGCTCTGATTTGGGATTCCTGCCTCGAGCCAGGGGGTTGGACTCGAGGGCCTTACAGTTGGCCCGTCCCACTCCATGATTCGATGGTTGCTGCTGATCCTTACACAGCCCAAACAGCACAACTTATTTACAAAAGGGAGACAGTAAGGGGAGGGTGAGTAGCGAGGAGAATGAACTAGGTCATGAGGAACATCTAGCAAGCCAAGTTAGTTAAGAAGAACAGGAATCTGCTACTCAGGTCAACAAGAGATACGGCACCACGGTGTGAGGAATTCACACTTTCCACTCCCTTCAGGAAGACGACTTTTCCAAAGCTGGGTTGTTATATTCACGGAAAAAAATTCTTAACTGTTAGAGCAGTACAGCAATGGAACCCATGATGTCAGGGAGGTGGTGAGCGCTCCAACGCTGGAGGCCTTCAAGAGAAACTTGGACAGTCATCGTTGTCCGATCTGCTTTGACTGGGAATCCTGCCTTGAGCAGGGGGTTGGACTTTGACAGTCATTGTCGTCCGATCTGCTTTGTATTCCTCCCTTGAGCAGGGGGTTGGACTTGATGGCCTCAGAGGCCCCTTCCAACTCCATGATTCTATCCTGCTCCTAGGCTGACCCTGCCTCCGTTCCACTAGAGGCTTACTTCACAGCTTTAGACCTCTTTTTCTGTTTTTCCCCCCACCACCACCATTCTAGAGGCATCGATGAGAAGCGCCTGCATTCTTACCTTGGGTAGATTGTAGACTTGGCCTTGGTAGATAAGTTCGTAGTGAGGAGGGTTGACGCTGCTCTGGTAGATGCAAAACAAGTTCTCGTTTGCCACGTCTGTAAATGACAAATCGGTATTCTGAATTTGCTGAAGTCTACAAGCCCTTTTCACATCACCTAGGATGATGTCCCATGAACAGAGCTCCCAATAAATCAGTCCCAGGACGTCAAACGTCGGCAAGGTTCCCATGGGCAGAAAGCGCTCCACGCCAAGCGAGGCGTTCTGCTGGCGCAGCGATTCACGGGCCTCCTCCTCCACGGGCAGAGCACGCCCTGAAGAGAAGCAAACCACCCCACGCCGCCGCCCAGCTCATGCCATGTTTTACAGACCCCTTTTTCACCTGGCTTATCCGGCGTCTGAATGAAGTGCTGGGAGGTAAAGGTTTTGCCATCGGGGTATTTTGGATGAGGCGGCAGCCGGGCATCAAGGTACGTACAGAATACATGCATAAGTATCTGAAGGAAGAAAATTAAGCCACTCCGAGCACCTTGGAAAACAGCTGCTAGAAAATGGAAATAAAAACTCCGCTATCTTCTTTGAAGGGAGACCAAATAGGAGGAGAGATGGCTTCCTCCTGGCGCTGAACGGGCGCACAGAAGGCGTGACACGTGCCCAGCTCCTTCCTTAGATGTAGCAATTCTCTGTTCCGATCTGTATGTCTTCTGCTGGTCTTAAGATGGACTCCACTGGAAGAGACAGCCCACGCAGTGAGCAGCCCACGCAGCCTCACACTCCCCCCTTCAGTGCTTTCACTAAATGCTAGGAGCGAGCTGTGAAAAAGCTGTTCCTCTTGATAAAAAAGACTGGCTGAATACCAGTATGCTTACGTGGGAAAACAGACTTGAGGACCATGCCTCCTGCTTGGATGCTGGCTAAGATGCCCATGCAGAATGCACAGCCTGTTTCTGGATAAAGGCTCTCGCTAGCTACAACATAACGGAGTGAACATTCCACATCTTATCAACCATCTTGAACCTTAACCCTCTTTGCAACTTTGAATGGAAGGAGTTCCAGCAGAAGGGGGCACAGTCTGTTTGAAGGAGTGTTAAGGGTTATTTGCTATTTAAACGTAGTTCAGACAATAGAGTTAGAGCATTTAGTGGACTATGGCCCACTTCTTCAGATGGATGAAGTGGTACTCAGAATGTCAAGTACACAGCACTGCCTAAGTCACACACCCCAAACTACACAAGACAGAAGCCCCTGCTTCTATGGACCGCAATTCTTACACTCATCTTAGTCTTGCTTCTGTTACTCTAGCTGGATAGCTCAGTGATTTTGGTCAGAATCGACTTGATGGCCCATCATCATCATCACCACCACCACCCAGAGAGGGAGTTCTAAGTCCCAGGACCCTTGCTTGGGTAACAAAGGGAGTCCACCCTTGCCTGGAAGCCTCCTTCCCTGGCCGACGAGAAATTGCATGACTTACAGCAGAGTCAGTTGGCAGATCCGTATCCCACTTGCGTGCCTTGAAGTCTGCTCCTCGATTCCATCGGAATGAGCTCATGCACCCTCCTTGAGAAAGCTCTGTGAGTCGCCAGAATGAAAAGAGTAGATTACTTGGGGTGACACAGCGGGAAGGAAACAAGAGGCGATGCCATCGCAAACACACAACAGGTGGTGCTCAGCCATCAGCACCGACACGGGGGTGGGGGTGGGGAGAAAGCCACAATGCAATAAACCATCATGAAGCAATGCCACACACGCATTCATCCTCGCAAGATGCAGTTCTTGAAACTTCCTTGCCCTGCAGTTACCATAAATGGAGGAAGCCAGGCGCACCATTCTAACCCCAGTGAAAACTTAAGACCCGCAATGCGTGGCTTACTCCTGACCCACACTTTCCTTTCCATCCGTGGGAAGCAGAGTACAGAAAAACTGGCTGGTACCATCAAGACTGCTCAATGTGAAAATCTGTCGGTTGCCTATTTCTGTGCCGTTTTCTCGCTAGCGTGTTCTTGTTTCATCCTAGTTCTGTATCTTCCTGCAATGCTTCCCCACCCCCAGTGTGGTAAATTGCATGTATTTGGGGGGCCACTTTTCCAAAATGGTCATGCTTGGTGCACTCAGTTTTCCAACTGGTTGTAATATTTCATGGCCTGTTGTTTTTTTTTCAAAGGCACACATTTTTAGCCAGTTCCAATATTCCCGTGACTGAAATGCACCACACACAGATCTTCCAAGGCACAAGGTCACATTCCCTGGGGGAATGAATGCAAAGGGAGCAAAACCTTCGCAGAGAACTGGCTAAGCCGGTGAATTTGATTTTGTCTGCCCGGTGAGTGCAAAAACAAGGCCCATCAACCTTTTTGGCTCTGCGAAGTGACTGTGTTTACCTTTGATCCTTTCAACCAAATATTCCTGGTTGGGTGTGAGGTCCAGGTACTGCACAATCGTGTTCAACGTAGGAATGAGGGGACCTTTCACCAGGGCTGCTTGCTTCAGACTGCTGATACTAGCATCTGCAAAAAAATGGTCTCTGCAGTACTAAGATGGTGTTTGGTGGCTAAACAGATTGTTATGGTCTGCCTTTAACTCACTTGTGATCTGGCATGCATAGACAAACCTAGAAAGATTAGACAGGGAAATCGATACTTCAACGTCTGTGATACCGTTGACTGGAACACAATGAGTGTATGTATCAGATGCAGATACTGTGGTTTGATACCAATTTCAAATTCCTTGGTTCATTCTCGATCATCCCAGAGTGCAGGATATGCCACCGTGAGCTCAAGGGACAGGAAGCCAGATTTCGGTTGAATCTCAGGAAAAAATTCCTGACTGTTAGAGCAGTATGATGGTGGAACCATTTCCCTTGGGAGTTGGTGAGCGCTCCAACCTTGGAGGCCTTCAAGAAAAACTTAGATCAACAATCACCTGGCAGATCTCCTTTGATTTGGATCCCTGCCTTGAGCAGGGGGTGGGACTCGACGGCCTTATAGGCCCCTTCCAATTCCATGATTCTGATTATAATTCTGATAGGCCAAGGAGATTTTTATACTCAAAAGGAAGGCAACAGAATATTTAGGCACATAGTAAAAGTTTGCACCACCCTTTCACTCATTCACACACATGCACACCAGGAACAACCACTGAGAAAGCTAAGATACCCGATATTGAGCCGCTGTTGTGCTTCCCCACCATGGGTCCCCAGAGGTTCTTGGACTACAACTCCCAAAATCCTGGCCCAGCACAGCTAGGGGCAAAGGCTTCTCGGAGTTTTAGTCCAAGAACTTCTGGGGAGCCACGGTTGGGAACCCCTCTCCTAACGCCATCAGATCCCGAGGCTTCACTCAAGCAGGAAATTACATCCCATAACGATCATACCTCCAATCTGCAGCTCAGGACACCCCATCCTCCGCAGCTGCATACTCACAGACTCAATCTCCTGAACCAGAGGCACTAAAATGGTCTCATTGATCCACTAGAAGAAAGAAGAAAAGGGGGGGGGGAATGCAGAGTTAAAAGACCAGCGACAAAGAGATTTTTTTTAAAAAAAATGCCATTGTCAATCAAAGGAAAAAGAAGAAATTTATAAGAAAAATTAAAAAATTTTTTAAAAAATGCGCCTTGTCAATCAAAAGAAAAATAAGAAATTATAAAAATTATTTCAGTAAGTTCTGGAATGGACAGCCGCTTGTATTTTATAAAATTTACTCAAAATCTTCATCACTATGCGTTTTCCTCATTAAACGGGGCGCCCGTTAAGCGAGACACCACTGTAAATAATAAATACGCTGTACTCTAGAAAGCTACTTTTTTTCCGAGTTGCGGGCAGAATGTTATAAACAAAGGTGGAGAATCATATGGGTAGTAAAATAATTAAAAGCATTTCTTCAGCATCCTCTCAAGCAAATTGAGAATTTGCGAATTATCGAATAAGCGAATTTGCAAATAATCAATTGGCATGAATAACACACAACCCAGAGCTGTTCAGCTGAAAAGGCAGACCTGGATGTTAGCCTTTAATCATTCCAGGGTGGCCGAGAGAAAAAGCTGGATGATTCCCTGTCCAAGCCTATCTTTCTCCAAGACAAAACATCTAATAAAGCCAAACATCCAGTAAGAAGAAATCACATGGTCAGGTTGACCCACTGGATGGCAGAAGTCAACTGCACAACTCACATTTCTGAATTTCGCAGTCCAGGAGTCCATGTGGTCGAGCAGCTGTCGGCTCACAGATAACCGTGCCCAAACCTGTCATAGAAAACAAGCGTTGCAACTTGCAGGCAGAGGAGGAGATAGAAAGAATTTCGCACAAAGCATCCGAGATCGGTGGTTCCCAACCTTAGATCCCCTGATGTTCTTGGGACAAAAATTCCCAGAAACCTTCACCACCACCTCTGCTGGCCAGGATTTCTGGGAGTCAAAGTCCAACAATATTTGGGTTGCCCAAGGTTGGGACCCACTGCATCATAGCATCTCCTTGAAACAAAACGAGCCAGGCAGGGACTCGGGATAGGATCTTCAGCCCTGATCCTGACCTCAAAGTACGTCTCACTGTGTCCGATGGGGTGCGCTTCTGGGTATGTGTGCAAAGCATGCTGCAATTATGGGTCTAGAACACATGCCAGAAGGGTTTATTTTCTCCTGGCCCACCTTCTTTTTACCTCTTCCGCAGCCTGCTTGGAAGTCAAATCCGCTTCATCTTTGTGAGCCGAAGGGGCTTGTGACCGGCAAGCGGGTTGGTACTGGAACTTCCTGAGCATCTGGGCATAGTCTGCCATGGAGCGGCCGTAATTCCAGAAGGTTGGACTGTTTGAGGGAGAGCTGGAATCCGAGCTCCCTGCAACAACCCAAGAAGAAACACACAAGGGACAGGAATCCACTGACCGCTCTGGAAAGGTCAGGGGCTCCATCCCTGGTCCCTCCAGAAAGGCGAGGCCATTTGAGGCGAGGAGAGCCACTCACCCAGCTGGACCCTGTGCTGCTTCTCCTCCTCGCTTCGGAGGAAGCTGTCGAGCGACTTGAGGTCGGTCATGTAGTCTTCCTTGCCGGCAGGAGAATTGTATACGGTGGGAGAAGAGCGGTACCGAGATCTGGCTCCGCTGGTATCCATGGGACCAAGGCTGGCGGGGTAAGGGGAAGCCGCTGGAGAAGGGCTGAAAGAGGGTGCCTGGGCGGAAGAAAACAAGCAACCACTATAGCATGGAAGTTCAAGTTCCTCCCTCCCTCCTTCCAACCACCCATCATTAGTTTGTTCCTTTCTTCCTTCCATCATTCATTCTTCCTTCCTTCCTCCCTCCCTCCCACCATTCCTTCCACTCATCCTTCCATCCATCCTTCCTTTCCTTCCTATCATTATTCTTTCTTCTTCCTTCCTCCCACCCTTCCTTCCTTCCTAGCATCATCATTCTTCCTTATTTCCACCCTTTCTTCCACTTCTATCCTGCCTCATAAGTACAAACACTCTCTGGGAGGCTCACAACATACAAAAAAGGTCAGACAATAAAAAAAACCAAAGTGTACAATAAATACAGTACAGATGCAATAACAATATAATAATCAGAACTACAGAGCTGGAAGGGACCCTCTGGATCATCCAGTCCAACCCCTGTCAAGGAGGCCGAGTGGGGGAATCGAACTCTCAACTTTTGGCTCCACAGACAGAGACCTAAACCTCTGAGCTATATATTATGATATTTTCTGGATGCTCCCCTGACAGCAGCGTCCAGACTGAACTCTGTGATCGCTTTCCTCCATCAGCTCTCTAGCTTTCTTTGTAGTTGCATCCTCCTCCTTAACTCCTCCCATGAATCGCAGAGGTGGCCAGGCTCTGCATCAAAGAGAACATTAGGGTCGATCATGTCTACAACACTTGGGTCAACCCTGAATACCAGTGAGTGACCAGAATGCCAACAGAAGCATCAACTAGATCATCTGGAAACCTCCCCCCCTCCGGGACATGTTGGAAACCAGATGGATATATCAATCTTTGTGGGAGAGGGCAAGACCATGGTAATAGATCCCACCTCCCCACAGAGGAGGTACAGCTGTTGTTATCTGCTGTCAAAGTAGCCCCGGAGTTCAAATCTCAGCAGATTATCGGCCCAAGACAAGGGGGGAGAACTCAAGGTTCAGCAGATCATCCCCTCCCTGCTCTAACGTGAAAATCAGGTCACCTGCGACAAATGTGGGGCCCATGGAACAGGCCACGGCCACCATGAATGATCTATACTCCAGTCAGCTGCGTATCTGCCTCTACATTGAAGTCCTCCAGAAGCAAAAGTCTGGGGACTGCAACGCAGCAGCCGAGACACCTTTCATCAATTCTGGGAAGGAGTGGGTTGTCGTCCTGCATGAGGTGAAGACACTCCAGGCTCAAGCTCTATATAGGACAGAGGTCCTGCTGATCTTCATGGATGAAAGAATATAATGTAAAGAAGTGAGTAATCTCAGTGGTTTAGGTCTCTGGCTGCGGAGCCAGAGGTTCAGAGTTTGATTTCCCACTGGGCCTCCCTGGCAGGGGCTGGACTGGATGATCCAGAGGTTTCCTTATTATTATATTTTGTTTAGCTGTAGTTTGGTGTAAACTGTAGCATTACAGGCTTTAAACATGGTTAGCCCTTCCTTGAGTCCATCAGTATTTGTCAGACGGAAGGATGGTAAAGAATGCAAGAGAAGACACTCTTCGTAAAAGGATAAGCTGATGACATCTAACACAGCAGAACACAGGAGAGACTTGGTGAAGAGAAGCTACTGGGGGGGGGGGTGATCCCAGGACTCAAATTCAAATCTGGTCAGCCCTTTTTCAGGCTTTGTGGCAGTGATCATACACGCCGGCCTTACACTTTGCCAGAGTGCCAATCTTAATTTGAGGGATGGAATTTTTGGACTTCCTGGACTACAAAGCCCATAACTCTCCATTCTGGGAGTTCTACCTGACAGACACCTAAATGGTGGCTCACAGGGTGGACAGCCTCAACTGGAAGAATCTGGAGCCTGGCTCTGCCCGGCTCTGCCCAGGCTTCCTGATCCTAACCTGGTTCTAGCTGGCTGCTTTCTTTCTGAACAGGAATCTAGGAAGAGCTAAGCCTAGCTCGGCCTCAAAGCCTTCCCGTGAGGCCTTTTACCCCATTACAGACACCTTAAAGACACAGTTAAGTGTCTGTAGGATGCCTGTCCGGAAGAACCCCTGAAAATCCCGTCGGTTACTTTTAGGCAGGCAGAAAGAAATAAGGATAACTTGGTTCTGGACAGCAATTAAAGAGTTTCCGTCGAGGTCCTTGACCACATCCAAAGCCAGCAAGCACACATGCCCCCCCCCAGTAATTACAGTGGTGACTCTTTAAAGGCCAGCTGGATAGGAGTGAACATTGTGTTGTTTGCCTCCTGACTACATAACAAAGCAACTGGTTTTTCAGCCACTGCTTTAGAAGGAAAGAGTTTGACAAAAGTGTCCCGTACCTTACTGTAACTGCTGCCGGGGGAATAAGTTAGGGCTGCACCGTAGGCACCGCTGCTCCCTGACAGGGGTTGCAGCTGAGGGCTGTAACCTGACATGCAACTCGGACCAAATTTGGGGCTGGCGCTGGGTGAGCGAGAGGGGCTGTAGCTCAAGACACTTTGCCCCTGGATGGAAGGAGAAGGGGTTGAAGGAGGTGTTTTCCTCGGCACCAGTTCAGGTGGCGGCGTCATCTGGACAGCTGCAATTAAACACATTTTTTAAAAAAATTAACCCGAGAGCCCCAAATCTTAGCAGAACTGGCGAAATGCAGTCTTGAGAAACTGTCATTGCATCATTGGCAACGGCTTAAAATATATCGAGGAACTCGACCTTCACCTTTAAAAAATAAATAAATCTGCCCCTCGTGGTTAAAAAGAAAGCTGGCAAGAGGGAACAAGCCATGGTTGACACAATTGTAAGCAAGAGAATCCCTTCATCCAGCGTCAGCAATAGGATTTTTAAAAACACATAAACAGACCAACTGTACAACCCTCCCCGCCCCACGACATTCTGGTTTACCGAACAAGGGGAGCTTCAGAGATCTCCGGAACGCTTTTTATTTATTTTGAATATTTTTATCCGGCCTTTCTCCATACAAAAACAAACAAAACCAAGGCAAGCTCTTCTTCAAAAGGAGAATGGAGGAAAAGCAAAAAGGTCATAGGTTCATAATAGCCATGCTTCTTAAAGGCAAACTTAACTTACAAGGCCAAGCGTGCCTTGTTTGCAATTTTCAAGCAGTCAAAGAAAGGTTTTGATGTAACCCAGAGTTTTGTTCCTTTTTTATGGATCAGGCAGCTATGCTTGTTTTTTTTCCCCCACGGCTCCCTGCTTTGCCCAGATGCTCCGACCAGGACTGAGCGACACACATTCTGAAACATCCTTACCTGTGTTCCGCAGCCCCAGGAGTATCCGTTGTCCGGGGCTGACGACTAAACTGGTCGGGGCCACGGTATATTTGAAGTACCTCCAGAAATCAAATAGAGCGTTGAGGCTGAACAGAGTTGCAAATGCAAGTTCTGGAAAAAAAAGACAAGATCACTGGAACCATTTAAATTAGTTATTGGATTTTTATCCCGCCCATCTAGACCAAAGGTCTACTCTGGGCGGTTTACAAATTAAAAAAACAATAAAACCAATAAACTTATCTTCTAGATCCAAGGTGGCGAAAGTAGAAGAAATTAAAGATACGGCAGGAGGGAAAGCCTGCCCAACAAGCCAGGTTTTAAGTTCATCCCCAGGCGGATCTGCACGAGGGCAAGTTGCTCCAAAGGCAGCGATTACAAATTCTTGCAAGCTATTTAATCAGGTGGTGGTAGCCACGGTTGACAGTGGCCCAGCTGCAAGGTGACTTTATGTTTAAGGCAAATGGGAGGAAAAGAAGTGGCGTTTGCACCACAGAAGGGAGGAAGGAACCCAGAAATCCGTTCCCTGATTTGCAAACTGCACGGAACTGTCTGCGCTGGAGGAGACACCGCTGGATCAACAGCTAGGGTATGGGACACGTAGCTTAGGATCTAGCAACAAGAAAAGATCAACCCAGAAGGTCCCCACTGTGCTATAAAAATCCCAAAAGTGGACATTGCCAGCTGAATAAATCAACTTCTATTTCCTTCTCAAGGTCCTTGGGGGGAACTGAATTCAAAGAACCTACCAATATACCATAGTAACCAGCATGAGATGTTGCAATACGAATTTAATAGTTTCCCAGACCTGTTAAGAAAGCAAGAAGGCCAAAATCAGTCACAGCCACGAAACGTGGCAACAGCATCTACTTATTTACAGTAACTTTACACTATACAGCTCAAGTGGTATCCCGACAGCTGCCAGTGACATAGATACAACAGTGTGATGACGATTTTGTTCGAGATGAGCTGCGGAAATTAAAAACCATTTGATGTTGCTTCTCCCCGCGTTCTGGCCAGTGTTAATATCACTGGAGGCCCACCGTACGTTTAATTTCCAACATCTTAGCTACAATTCCACTCTTAATCATATATACTGTACCAGATAATACCAGAATTGACTTGTGCCATCAAGTGAATTCTGATTTATGGCAAAGCGCTGTTTTTAACCTATAAAGCCCTGAAGGAAGGAAGGACGGATGTAAGGGAGGGAGGGAGGGAGGAAGCTAGCTAGATTTTTAACCTATAAAGCCCGGAAGGAAGGAAGGACGTAAGGGAGGGAGGGAGGAAGCTAGCTAGCTAGCTCAAGGACCGCGTCTACCTCTATGAGCCTGCCCTGGTGTTAAGATGAGGGAGGCCTTTTTCTCAGTCCCACCACCTTCACAGGTGCATTTGGCTGGGACACGGGAGAGGGCCTTCTCTGTGTCTGCTCCTTTAGACTCTGGAACTCCCTCCCACTGGAGGTCAACCTGGCCCCCTCTTGGCTATCCTTCAGCAAGCAAAGAATACTCTTCTTTTCAGGCAAGCTCTCTCATAGTGATCAGCTGTCTGAGAGGGGTGTTTTTTTTAATGGATTGCTGTGCCTTGTTGATACTTTTAATACTGATTTTATTCACCGTTTTCAATTTAACATCTGTTCAATTCTTTTTAAATATTAGCAAAAGTGCTGTTTTCACATTTTTATTATTTATTTATTTATCTATCTATCTATTTATTTATTTATTTATTCATTCATTCATTCATTCATTCATTCATTTATACCCTGCCTATCT